TTACCTGCTCCACTCTGGGCAAGTGTTTATTTTTCTGGAAAAGACAGACATGCAATGCAGTGCAGCTCTTGTCCCTACTTACTGAGGCCTTTCTGTCCCTTCCTTCATCAGCACAGGATGGAAGAGTCTAAATGGTCACTGTAAGAAGAAAAATTATAGCCTTTGTCCATTTCAGTTAAGAAGTTTTCATTCCACTGCAGGCTAAGCAGTCCCTGTGGGCAGTGCCCACTTTCCTCCTCTCCATCCTTAATGCTGCCATTGATTAATAATGCCTGTTTAAACCTGTCGGAAAAACAACTGGTAGAGAAATTTGAATGAAATGTGACCTCTATTCTTACTACAGAAGACCGGGGCCTTGCTTGTCCCACATAGATACAACTTAAATTTTGTCACTCTAAATGCTCAGTGTTGGTGTGTGGAAACCCAAATCCAGCCTCTGTTCCATTTCTAAAAGCTGGGTTTAGCCTGCCTTAGACAACAGAAACTTCGCCTCCCAGGTTCTCGAATGCCAGAGTGGCACTGTGACATGTGACTGTCCAGACCAAACCCGCAGATGCGTCTGTCATCAAGAATGATTTCCTGCCAGGATGTAGTAATATACTTCCCATTGCTTCTGACAGCAGGGGTCCTAGACCCGATGGCTCCAGGGGAGAACTTTGTTTTTTTAAAAAAAATCATTTTTTTCATTTAAAGTAGAAATCAAAACAGTACCATCTGCTGTGTGAATCTGGCATACCAGGGAAATTAGTGTGACCAATGGCCTGGATCTGTTTAGACCACTTAGTGGTGGTGTTCCATGCCACCCCATCCATGTGTCCCTCTCATAGCTTTGATCTAGAGCTGGTGGGGGGGGGGGATCTCAGAAAAGAGGGATCTCGGGATCTGCCATTGCTCTGCACCTAACACCTGTTGACTAGATGATTAATTTTTGTTGGTGTGCATAAAAAGAGGAAGTTTTGAAAAGCAAAGAGACGTTAAAGACAAAGTATGTTGTGTGTGCACTCATGGTGAGCTGGAGGAAGAGGCAGCCAGGGTTCTCCTGGCTTCTCAGGGGAATCTAGAAATAGTTCAGGGGTCTGCTGTTGACCTCTGTACTGCAGCCAGCCCCAATTCACCCAGACCCCTAAGTTACACTCTGACTGTGACTCAGATATAGGGCTAATGACACCTCCACACCAGAGTGGTTTCCGTTCTCGGGGCTTGGGATGCTCACGGGCCAGAACATGCTAGAGATTTGCCTATACTCAGATCCCAAAGACATCTTACCCATGCCTCTTTGGAATGTTCCGAGTTATCCCTTGTGCACCTGGTCTACAATACAATGCAGCCAGGGCTACTTGATGAGATCTGTGACTCAAATATAAAGTTTGCTGTTAATAATCTATCACATGCAAACAAGTTTGCCAAGGCAATCATCAGTTTTGTGTTTTGTTGGAGAGTGTTCATGAACAGTTTTTCTCTACCCAGTTTCCTACACCTATGAAAAAACAGCAAAAAAAAAAAAAAAAAAAAAAAAAAAAAAAAAACCCACCCCAGATAATCTCAAAAGGGAATCAACAAATACCTGGAATTTGTTCTTTCATTGTCCTTAATTTACCACAGCCCAATCTGCCCACAGATCACCTTCAGTTCAGACATTCAGACTTATATGTCACTCGCAATACTCTGACTTGTCTGTTATTTTCACATCTTCCATACAGACTTCTGGGTTTCTCTTAAGAGAAAGAAAAAAAAAGAGTAACTTCCAAATTCAAAATTTAGGAGCAAATCTATAATACTGTCTCATTTTTCATGTGCCACCAACATATGAAGATAAGAATTACCCCTGTGGAAGGGCTGGAGAGATGGCTCAGAGGTTAAGAGTACTGGCTGCTCTTGCATAGGACCCAGGTTCAATTCCCAGTAGTCAGACAATGGCTCACAGCCATGTGTGACTTCTGTTCCAGTGGGTCTGGTCCTCTTTTCTGACCTCCACAGGGACTAGGCACACACATGGCAAATGGACATACATGCAGGCAAAACATTCATACAGTAAAAATAGATATTATTTTAAAGAATTACTCCTATGAGACAGATAGAGAAACTGAGGCTTGCCCAAAATTGCTGAATAGTAAAATAAGCAACACAATGAACACTGCAGCTCTGGCCTCTGCCTCCAAAGCCCACATTCTTTCCATTTGTGCATGCTCACTTCACCCATGACCCTGGTCAAGAACCCGAGAGGTGCATGATGGGAGGATGAGAGAGACAGCATACATGGATGGGGACAGACCTGCCCTTGGTCCCTGTCCTTATATTGAGCAGAGGGTACACATTTTCAGCTGTAAGACAGAACCTGTGACACAGAAGTTATACTTTGATATCTGATCAATTCTGTCTTGAAGCTTAGCATTCGATACATTAGAGACAGGGAGGCTGTGAAGGACAGTGGATTCTAGACTCCCGAGTGGTAATGCGTGGCAGGAGAAGGGAAGAGAAAGACGAGGCAGGTCTCAAAATTTCCATTCCCTAACTCCTTCTGCTGCCCTCTCTCCAGCCTGGGTCGAGTCTACAAGCTTTAGGAGCCACATAGCCATGTCTGACCATAATTTAATTTCTTTTGTCTGTAGCTTTAATTAGGACCTTAAAATTAATCCAAGGCACTTTTCCCCATAACCTGATTTGTGTACATACACATAGCTGTTGTTCGAGCACAGCCCTTCCAGGCAGCTGTTGTCTGTCTGTCCTTCATTTTCACTCCCACATGAGGTCTCTCCTTTGACGCTGATAGAGGGAAATGCTGGCAACAGTTAGTCACCTCATTGCTTCAGTGGAAGAGAGCCCAGAATCGAAGCCAAACAGCGCTGGCCAGACCTTTCTGTGTCACTTGACATCCTTGGACCTCAAGTCTCAGTAAGACTCGCTAACAATTGACAGATGTCTCAGGGGAGAGCTCTAGCCATCTCTGGATTATGTCTTCCAAACTGAGTATATGAACTGATTCACTTTTAATATCCACTCTTGGTCACACTGTGGCTTTGCTATAAAATACTGAAAGATGTCCTCCCTTTGAGACAGCAACTATATATAAATTTTTTAAAAACCAGGGGAGATGACCTCAGCTCTTAAAACCTGTAAACATTTGAACAATTCTGCTCTCAAAGGGAAAGCCCCTGGTGCTTTTTCAAACATTAAGTGGAGCTGACAACAGTTTGAGCTCTGTTTGAAACTGGGATTTTGGTTTTGTTGTTGTTGTTATTGTTGTTTGAATCAAGAGTCTTGTTCCAGGCTCTGTTATTTCCTTAAAGAATTGAACATTTCATCTCACAGCATGGCTTCATGCAAAGTGTTGGGAACATCTGGGGTCTGGATGTTTCTAGAATATGTGTGCATGAGGCGAGGGATTGGGGCAATGAGGCTTCTACCCTGTCCATGGCGCAGTGGGTTCTGAGGCTTTACTGTTCCCTGGTGCTAGTCGCAGAATGTGTGAGTTTTGACTCTTCACCTTCCATACAGGGATGGAAGCAATCCTTTCCAGCTGCACTAGCTATTTCCTTAGAGTTATTTTTTTAGAGGGGGGAGGGGAAAGTGAGTGTATATGAACTACAGTGCACATTTATGGAGGTCAGAGAACAACGCACAGGAATCTGTTCTCTTCTTCCTCCATGTGGGCCCCAGAATTTACCTTAGGTCCTCAGCCTTGGTGGAAAGCACATTTAATAGCTGAGCCATCTTGCCAGACTCTGTTTTTCTTTAATTGTATATAGGAGGAAACAACTGGAAACCTTCGGGTTCGTGTTGCCGTGGGTGACTCCGGTGAGATTTTTGTCAACCCAGTCCTGGAGCCCAGTACCTGGCTGCCTGCAATCATCCTGGCAGAGTAGCTGACCTCTAGGAAACTTGGACTTCTCACCAACTGCTAGTTGTTGTATTTGGAAAATGCATTCTCTGTAATTCATACATTCAGCACATGAAACATTTCTCTCTGGACTTTCCAAACAACCACTATTAAGTGTAGGAAAGACCTGACATCATGGCATGCATTTAAATCTCAGTACCCCCCTGCGGGTGGAGAACTGAGATTCCATGGCTTGGCTGGGGAGTGCAGGTTAGGAATCCAACCATTCCAGCCTGGTCCAGTTTAGAGTGGGTATGTGGCTATAGGAAGTGGCTGCTGGAAGCCAAGAGCGAAATCAGGCCCGATGTTCCAGATGAGATGCAGGAAACTGCACTTGAAGAAAGCTCTGTAGCCTGGTTACTGACTTTAGATCTGGGCCAGCTGAGCACAAGCTGAGATGTAACCTCTCTGTGCCTTCCTGTCTGCATCAATAAAATTCAGATGACAGCAAAATCAGAGCAGCAAATGCTTCTGTGAAATGGGTATTAATTAAATGCTTAGAGCAACACACGACAGAGGAAGCAGTGTGCAGTCAGTAGTTTCTTATTGCTATGCTCATCCTTGCTGTGATGTCCATCATGCTGTAATCATGTTCCCAGGGCCTGGAATTACACAGTGTCTGACGGTTAGAGGAGCAACTGATCAGTTCCAGCCGAGACTTTGGGGATGCTGTTGTATGGTGTTATGAACACTAGTGATTTGCTTTTCCTGTTTCTTATGGGCATGTGCCTTTCACTTCCTCTGTGGACTACCTTTGTTTCTTACATTTTTATAATAATTCATATTAAGATTTGATAAAACTTCTCTTCCAGGAGGCCTGATGCATTCTGAGATGGCTGTCTCACGCACGCTCACTCTCTCTATCTCTATCTCTCTCTCTCCGACTGTCTCGCTGTCTGTGTGTGTTTTCTAGGATGGGTTATACAAATCATCAGCTCTTTTAGGTCATTGTTTGAGAGCCTTCTTTATCCTAATACTCAGTGTGTACGTGCACCCAGCTTCCACAGAGGAATACTTGGGCACATTCCAGATGCTTCTGAATGGTGTGTGTGATGCCAGGCTCACTGCTCTGGGATGTGGTGTTCGTGTCTGATGTAACTCAACTGTGTCCTTTCCCTTCCAGATGACTATGCCCAGCTGTGCAACATCCCCGTGACCGGGCGACGGCGGCCATATGGACAGGATGCGTTGGTGGACTTCGGTGAACAGTATGGCCCAGAGACAAACCCTTACTTCATTCAAGATCGTAAGCAGTCGTTCAGTCATGTTGAGTTAAGCTGTGGATCAAGATTAATCAGTATTTTCAAAATCCTATCCCTGGGAAATTGTTTTGAATGCAGATCTGTGGGTCTAAACATACCCATCAGAATATTAGGGTGGGACCCAGCAGACTGGTTTTATAATCCCCTTGAGTTACACAGCCTGCTGGTTTGGCTAGGAATCACCAGATTCCAAGATGAGCATTGCATGGGAGAGGTATTGTATTTATTTTCTTTAAAGTAATGAAAATGATCTTATTGTTAGAATTGCTACAGCTCAATCATTTCTTTTCATATTAAGTCATGGTCTAGTTCCAGTTCCCTACAAGGAAATGACAAATGTTCACCACACCAAGTTGATCTTTACAAGTATTTTAGAGTGGGTGGTCCAAAAAAAAAAAAATACCTTCTTGGTCAGAAATGGATTTTTAGAATCCACTTGTGAGAGGATTTATTAAGTAAGAAGTGATGCGTGCCAGCCTTTTCTGGATTTGTGAGCAGAGCTTTCAGGGGGGAGGCAGGAATGAAAATAATGTCCCCTCTAGAAAGGAAATGCCCCACAGCCTGTGGACAGAGGGTGCTGTGTGAGGAAACCACACACAAACTATGTTTCTATAGGAGAGACATCTGTGCTTTCAAATAGGAAAGAGTGAGGTTTGGAAACACAGCAATTCAGAATGAAAGATGGTGGCTGACTGGACAAGAGGGTGCTGAACTGCATCGTAATGGAGACCTTCCTCATCTCAAGAGATGCGTCTCACTCCAGCAGCTGTAGCACGTTCTCACATGCTGGGTCCCTGTGGACCATAGACTTCGGGGTTAGGACTTAAGAGACACTTCAGAGTTGCAACCTACTAGGAAGTCTTTTCTTGGGGGGAGGGGGGTATCACCTGTTTGCAGAAGCCACCAATTGGGAGTAGCACTTAGACCTTTGTAGCTGCATTGGGGATTATTTCCACAAAGTCAAAAGCCTTTTCCTTCCTCCTTTATGGTTCAGGAGGGTAGACATTCTTCCTCCCTCTGCTCCAATATGAGGTCTTTGGTTGAATCTAAAAGCCACATTTCCACATTCGTTGTATGTTTAATTACATTTCAAGACATAAGAGTAAAGTTTAAAGAAATGGCAGAGCATACTGCTTGGAGGCTTTTAGACAGTGAACAGTGATTTTGTGAATGAATGACAACACAGAGATATCTTGTATTACTATAGGATGGTGAGTTCTGTTGGTCCCCCTGAGAGACTTATGGGGGTGGGGCACCTATAATTTAGTGGAGGGTAAGGGTTACTTCTAAGAATGTGTTTACTCACCCCAGCTACCAGCGTCCCTGACCAAGGCTGTTTCCAGCTTGGGTATGTAAAGACCTCCCCTCCCTGAAGAATCATTACAGTGTGGTAGCAATAGGAAAAGGCAAACCTGGTAGAATATTCAGGAGTAAACAGATCCTCAATGACTTTGGCTTGAGAGAATCGGTATCTACCAGTTTACTGTGTTTCTGCCATTCAGTGAGGTTGGTTATCACATACCTATATGGCCCCTCTCCAAGGTCAAGAACAGTATGTCCTTTCCCAAGTCTTCCCAAGGATAACTACTGTCCTATCCCTAACTCTTGTGCTTGGTAGCCTTGCTTTATTCCTAACAAAACGTGATCCTGAGTCACTTCATGAAATGGGCCTGAATACATCCACAATGTCAAGACTATGTACTTGTATACACATCACGATGGGAGCTATAGATGAGTAAACCTCCTCCTTAAAGAGAAAAGGGGAGAGAGTGCAAATTCCAAAGAAAACCCACAAATACAGAAATAGCAGGTAGAGTCTGTAAGCGACCCTGAAACCCACACACTTGTGTGTGTCTCCTCTGCCACATTCAAGTTTGCATTCTAGGACTTTACATGTTGAACTATCCTGAACTTCTCTTCAATGCCAACATGATTCTAATGCTCCTGTTCCATTCATAATGTCAACACACATGTTGGTGTCACACATAGGGAGTTGTCATGTGGGTTTTGATTCCACAATGGCCTTTAAACAGCCTGCCTGAATGTTAGAAACATCTCCCAGCCCGGCCTGCTCTCTGACTGGTAGGGAGCAAGGGCTCCTGGCCCTGCTGGAGAAAAGATCACACTGAGTAGCCAATAATGGAAGAAAAGCAAAGTGAGACTTCTCATCAACTTCATGCTTTGTGGTCTCCGTTACCTTCAGTTTGCGCAATTTCTAAATTTCCAATTTCCAATTTCCAAAACTGTAATTCATTAGTGCATTAGCCATTCTCTGAAAGGCTAGCTATGGTAATGTTTTAGACTTTGAAGGCCACATGGTCTCTGTTGTAGCCACTCAGCTCTGCCATAGTGCCATTTATATGGCCACGGAGACTTAACATGGCTACTGGATGTAGTTGTGTTCATTTACCTAAACAGGTATCAGGTCAGATTTGGATCAGAGCCTTCCCACCTGGTTTAGAAACATGAAGGTGTATTTTGGAGGTCTTGGGTTTCATTTGTTAATGACACATTTTAATTCCTGCAATAAAATGTAATCTTATTGTGACAGCAAAATGATTTTGCTGTCCTTGAAATGATTTTGCTATGATTCACTAGATTTTGAAGATTTCTATAAAGATCTCATTTTCTAAGTCTGTATTTCTCAAATCAGCTTTATATGTCTGTTATTTCTTCATGGCCTGATTCTTTCCCTCTTTAAATTTTGGCTAGGGGCCCTCATGGATTGTTTCTGGGAGCTTTTCTTTCTTTCTTTTTTTTTAATTACAATCACAGTTCCCTCTCCTTCTTCTCCCCCTCCCCTCCCCTTCTCCCACCCTACCTTCTTGGTGTTATTTAAAAAAAAAAAAAAAAAAAAAAAAAAAGCTTTTTTAGTGGGCTCCTATGTAAGTTAAGACCTTCTGGGCCTGCATAGCAATAATATTTTGCTGCCCCCTGCAGTTCCATTGGAGAATTACCTCAGAGAACACCTCATGCCAAAATGTCTGGCTTTATGGTTTTTTGTTTTGTTTTGTTTTTTTAAGCCCCTGTGTCCAGAAGGTGACCTGTGACAGTGTACTTATGTCATTGTGTATTTATAGTTACAGCTTCCTTCTCCAGGAGGACAGCTCAACTCTTTCATGCATGGTCACAACTTCATGTTGTTAAAACTCCAGGCGTCTTGAGTGGCTTCAGAGCTATCATCTAAACTGTAAAAAGAGCCAAACAAGAGTTTCTTTGTTTCGTCCTTTATCAAAGTCTTTTGATATCCTAAACACACGTATAGTGTGCTTTCCCATTTATCAAGATGTTTTAATTGCTTCTATGCCTCTATCCTGTGGGCCTTTGCAGAGGGCTCGGTGGAAAGCCAGAGTAAACAGACCCCACTGGGCACAGCCAGCCCGGTACTTCTTTGTTTCTGCAACTCCCATTGCACATCCTCAAACTTGGGAGCCTTCCTAGAAAATGCCTGCAGAACATGCTTGGGAATTCCACCAATCCCACCCCTGAAGGCTTCCTGACATGTGCCCTACTGAAAAGAACAACTTAAACTCATGCTTAAACTTTCTTAAATCTCAAACTCATCCTTGTTTTCCATGTTATGTGATTTTAGTATAAAGAACTGGAATTTTAAAAAATGGACTACTCCGTGCAAAAGTTTGAGTTATTTTATGCTTAGCACTGGGCATAGATATACGTGATAGTAAATTCTAAAACTAGTGTCAGGACTGCACAGATGGCTCAGTGGTTAAGAGACTGACTGCTCTTCCAGAGGTCCTGAGTTTAAATCTCAGCAACCACATGATGGCTCACAACCATCTCTAGTGGGATCTGATGCCCTCTTCTTCTGGTATACAGGCATACGTGCAATAGAGCTCGTGTGTGTGTGTGTGTGTGTGTGTGTGTGTGTGTGTGTGTGTGTGTGTGTGTGTGTGTGTGTGTGTGTGTGCTAATGTTAAGGTATCTAAAACAAATATATAAAAGAAACCATATCCTTAATAATAATAATGTGATTTTCTTTAGGAAATGAGATTGAACACTTCTAACCTGGACCCTGCCTTTTCCTCTGCAGGTTTTTTAAATAGCTTTGAGGAATTGCAGGCAGAAGAATGTGGCATCCTCAATGGCTGTGAAAATGGCCGCTGTGTGAGGGTCCAGGAAGGTTATACCTGTGATTGCTTTGATGGGTACCACCTGGATATGGCCAAGATGACTTGTGTCGGTAAGAACAAGAGTGTCCCATGAAAGGCTTCCTCTGGGATCCCCTGTGGCCATATCCGGTCAGCTGAGTATGTTTCAGCAAGATGGGTGGGGGTTACAGTTTGGGAAGTTGAAAAAAGTTCTAGAAATCTGCATTAAGTATAATTATGCTTGGTGTTACAGGAACTACACACAAAAAATAGTTAAGACAGTCAGTGATGTATTCTGTTTTTTGGGGGGTGGGGAGGTTGACACAGGGTTTCTCTGTATCTTTGTCTGTACTGAAACTCATTCTGTAGACCAGGCTGGCCTTGAACTCACAGAGAGCTGCCTGCCTCTGCCACCCGAGTGCTGGGACTAAAGGCATGCATCCAGCCTGTTTTGATTTTTGTTTTTTGTTTTTTTTAATCACAACTGAAACTCAGAGTTATCGCCCCATTTAAAAATCATTGTTTTATTTTCCTCGGGGCCAGAGACTGAACCCCAGGGCCTTGTGCATGCTAGGCAAGAGCTGTATGTACCATGAGGCTCTACTTGCAGCCTCCAGCCCCATCCCTCAATAATGCTAAATATAGAGGAATGGCTCAAGTAATTATTTTGACTTTTCACCTTGAATTTTGATGGTTCAGGAAGTAATAGTTTCCCTGAGTATGTGACATAACTATAAAAGAGTGATGGTATCTAGAAAATAGATGGCTTCCCTAACTGTTAGCATGTATAAAAATATTAAAATCACCAGTCATACTGTAGCTTGTCTATATAAAATGTCAAGCTGACAAAATGTTGACATTGTATTTTGAATAACAGGGCAATTCAGACTCTCTGTGGTAGTCTTTTTTAAGGTCTAAGAAAGCTTATCTTGCACACTGAGAGAGTTAAAAATAAGGAAACTGTCTGGTTTATGTGCCAGAGAACTGTGGGCAGCACCCAGGTGCAGATGGTACCTGCATGTCTCTGGCTGGAGTAACATTAGAGACTGTTGACCTGTGGTTTGCTTTATTGCAGATGTAAATGAATGCAGTGAGCTGAATAATCGGATGTCTCTCTGCAAGAATGCCAAGTGCATCAACACAGAAGGCTCCTACAAATGTTTGTGTCTGCCAGGCTATGTACCGTCTGACAAGCCCAACTACTGCACGCCGTCAAACACCGCTTTGAATTTAGACAAAGATGGTGACTTGGAGTAAAGGGGAAACTATGTGACCTGTGCCCATATACTCTGCACTGTGTAAAGGAAAAGGGAGAGATGTATACCTAACACACGGCACCTAACCCAGAATGGCAAAGACAGAAACAACATGGAGTTGAATGAACCCTAAAGACAGTGAGCAGATGGAGCCGGAACCTGATGGGTGTGACAGACCAAATGGACATTTCTCCAAAACTCCAGTATATATAGTCTGTTCATATGTAAAATTCAATGGAAAAGAAGCAGGACAGGGCTGTTATTTTAAACAGAGGTTGTATTATTATCTTGTTTTGATTTTTTTTCTTTTTTACTATTGCTTAAATTTGGCTTTTAAATAGTGGTGGAGATGTTTTATATGATTTTCTTTTTGTTGTGCAGTTCCTCAGCTACTGCTTTTTTTTTCTTCAGTGTTATTCTCAAGTTCAAACATCTTTGATAAAGTATTGGTAAAGTGTATTATAAGTATTATGACACAGGGTTGTGCTGTTCTTCAGTCTGGAGCCTTTTAAAAACAAATTGTCTGTCCTGTGGAGTAGGCAGTGATTGTTAAGCTTTTATAGATAGACATTTGGAGGTGGGGGGGGACACCTTTATTTTCATGTATTGCCATATCTCCTATCAATTGGATCCCTTTATTAGCCTGAAATGGAAGAACTTCTTAACCTATATTGGTATTGTGATGTGTAAAGTCAACCCAGAGAAATTTTAAAACCTGAACATCCCCCCAAATATTTACCATTATATGTTATAAGAAAATAAAATCACCATTTTTTTGTAGAAAAAAAAAAGCCTGTGTGACAGAACAAGTTGTACACCCATCCCCACCCCCAGTTCCCCCACTTTGTGTTTCTTAATAGTTTTCCATCACTTTGTAAGTTAGGTCTAGTTAGCTATTGTTACAGGCTGATAATTGTCCTCTTAAGATCTCTTGTTGAAGGGTTGAGTCCCAGTGCTTTATGATGCAACTCTGTTTGGAGACAGGCTCTCTAAGGAGAAGACAAAAGTTAAATGAGACCAGTGGAGTTAACTGCAGTCCAAAACTATGGGTGTCTTTAGGCACCAGGAAGTAAGGACACAAGCAAAGGAAAGACCACTCGAAGACAACAAGAGGTGACCATCTACAAAAGAGTGAGGCCTGAGAGGAGAAGAAACCAACTCTGCCACAGATCTTGAACTCTAGCTCCAGAATTCTGAGAAAATAAACTGTTGGAACCACCAGCTGTGGTACTTTTCTTGTGGCTTCTCTAGAAAACCAATGCAAGTTCATGTGACAGGAATGATGAACAAACAGGACCTTTCAAAGTAGAGTCTCTGGCCTCTTATGAAGCTTGCCTAGCAACTCCACCAGCTTCACAGTCCCTATTTTTTACCTATTTTAAAAACAAACTATGTTGCAGCAGACCCATGGAAAAATCTCCCAGTGAGCACTTTGAAAGGCCTTTGCCTTTCTAATATCTGCAGTAGGCATGGTGATCTGTCATAATCAAGAGAAGTACTGTGTCAGAGTGCCAGTCACCTGACCCTAAGAGGTAGATAAGCTTGGGTTAATCTGGTGAGCCTCTTATGTAATCACCAGAACAAAAGGAGTCACAGAGGTGTGACAAGGAAGAGGTCAGATACGACAGGAAAGAACCTTGACCCACCACTCACCAAAGATGTGGACAGTCAGCGGGAGCTGGGAAAGACAGGGAGAGGACTCTTCTTTGACAATCTAGAAATGAAAACAGCACAGTGTATACCTGACACCTTGGTTTTGGTCCAGCGATCCTGTGTGAACCTCTAACCTGTTGAACTATAAGATGGCTGTGTGCTGCTTGGTGTGACTAAGTTCACTACAATAGGAGGCTAATACAGTATTAGTGCTGGGTAGAAACTATTGAACTAACTCAATAGTTCCAGCTAATGCTCATGTAGGAGAAATGAATGGTTGGGTTCTGGCCCAAGAAAAGATGCTGCAGGGCTTGAGAGAAGAATAAGGATCAAAGTTTGATGCCCAGACATGGTGGCATGCACTTGTAATCCTGGTCCTGAGGAGGAGGAGATGGACAGATCCCTGGTGCTTGCTGGCCAGCTAGCCTACCGAGCAAGCTCCAGGCCAGTGAGAGACCCTGTCTTCAAAACAAGGTGTACAAAGCCAACTGTGGTGGCACATGCTTTTAATCCCAGTGCTTAGGAGGCAGAAGCAGTTGGGTCTCTGTGAGTTCAAGCTCAGCATGGTCTTCATAGTGAGTTCCAGGACAGCCAGAGCTGTTACACAAAGAAACCCTGTCTCAAAAATAAACAAACAAACAAACACAACCACCACCAACAAAACCCCACCAAACTAAAAATCCCAAGGTGTATAGCACCTGAGGAATAGCATTCAAGGACCCAAGGTTGTCATCTGGTTGCCACAGGCATGCACATAATGGGTATACATATATACACATGTGCATCTATACACAAACGTTACACTTGTTCTCTCTCTTTCTCTCAATTTTTTAAGTTTATATGGTAATCTCCTCTAAAATATGTGCTTTGCAAAAACTCTGGAATCATAATATTTATAAATATAGTATTGAATCAATGGTGTAAGAAGTTAGTATGGAAATTGGTGTTTGTGAACTACTTTGTGGAAACTATATGAACATAGGATTTTCTACTCTAAACAGCGTCTTAGTTAGATTTAAGAAGACAGAATACAGATGTCCTGTTATCCTTCAGCAGTAACAAAATGTATACATTTTGAAAGGAGAGACTATGGAGAACACTGGAAATAAGGCTTCAGACCCTTCAAAGATTCAGAGACCCGAGAAAACAATATAAAAAAGAGAAATAAAATCTCTGCACACCTGTGGCTCACTTTAAAAAGTAACTTGAAATCTGTGCAATAGTCTCCCTTTGGGGGAGGATTTCATATCATCTCCCAATAAATGCCCCAGTATGATTAAAGCCAGGGCCTGTAGGGGACAGTAAGCCACTCCTGTTGGAGGCTGGCTTACTGTCCCCTACAAGGGCCCATCTTAGGAAGAGAGATACTACATTGGTATTTCTCTGGGCTTCACAAACTTTAGTGTATCTCCATCTCTGAGATTCCATGACACTGGCATGGAGTGATAGCTCTCCTTCAAACTCATCTTGGCCCAGAAGAATGACTATGATCTAAGCCTCCTGAATATCTTGCATTGTAGGAGATTTGTGTTTCCATATGAAGAAGAATGAAACATAGGAGCTGGAGGGGCTTGCCCTCTGAGACCAAAGGCATTGTCAGCCTTACTTAGACTCATTTCAGTGTCAGGACTGAAGGCAAGCATTCACACAGCTCGCATCACTACTCCCCCATTGTACTGTGCTTAGGGCCTTACAGGCAAGATGGGAACACAGGGACTCTGAGCTGCTGCCCTAATCTAAATGTATGAGCATGTAAATATCAAGTTCAACAAGAAGATTAAACACAGGAGAGAAACAAAAGGACCAAATTATCAGTGCAGTAAAAGTCATACGCAAAGAGTAAAGAGGAAAACAGGAATAAGGAATGTTCAAAACAACTAGTAAAAAAGCAAGAAAACAACAGGAGTGAGCCCCTACCTATTAATATAACTTGTTAAATGAAGTACATTTTCCAATTAGAAGACTGAATGGATATATATCAAGCTCACCTCACTAATATGCACAGAGGGGAGGGGGGAGGGAGGAAGAGAGAAATTGCAAAAGAACAATGTAGTAATGCATCTTGAAGATTTGAAAAAAACAAACCCAAAATTAGCAGAAGAGATAGATGACAAATATCAGTGCAAAAATCAACTAGAGGCTAAAGAACGTGCCAACACTCAATGGGAGGTTCCAACAAAAGGTTGTCATTGTGATCATTTCTTCACAGACTGTTATTCAGATGTCAAACTCCCCAAGAAAATGCAGGTGAGATGGACTGAATTTTGCTGGGAAGTTTACATTTCTGTTCCCTAGACAGAGAGAGAAAGAGAACAAAGAAATGGTTCAATACTAGTTCATTGTGGAAAGCTGACCTTTCCTTACAAGGGGTTACTTGCAGGAGTATGGCTAACATTACAGATAACTGCTCCTGAAGAAGAGTCTCCTATTCCCACTCATTGTCTGTCACTTGTATATCTCCAGGGAGAGGAAAGCCATTAGGTGTCTCTCCAATCTGATAGGTCTTCTCCACTTTCATAAAGGAATGGTAATGGGCCCAGTCTTGTGAGGGTATCACACAGTCACATCTGGTTTCACAGCAACAGCTAGGGCGTGTCCAGATGGGAGAATTCCATGACACTCCACCCCTTCCTTTGACTCGTATGTTTTTGCTCTCTGTCCTCTGAGCTTTGGAGAGAATGATATAGATGTCAGATTACTTTCTCCCATTTGTGCTAACCATTGGACAATCATGCCACAGTAACAGTCATTTATTCTCAGCAGTTTGACTGACTATGAGTTTCCCTGGTAACCATTACCCACTGAAAAAGGATATTTCCCTCCCATAAACCAGGATGGACAATGGCAGTAATCTATGGACATACATATAACTGTTTAGAAACAAATGTAATAGCCACATCACATCTGTTTAACAAAACCATGGGAATACCCTCTGCATTAAAGCCTACCTAGGACCTTGGCAGTTACTGTAACCCTGTCTTACAGTACCAAACATGGGTTTCCTACTATAGGATGAGCCTTAAATCCAATGAGAAAACCACTGGATATAGCCATAACAGTTATGCCACTTCTGACCCAGTGCAGTGGTCTTGCTTGGCATGTTGATAAGTCAGTGTGAAAAGTAGATTAACTTAATAGGACATTTGGTAACAATTTTTTACAAGTGGACTGACTGCCTAGTGCCCTGTGGCACTTTGAAAGTCAACAGGTTGGGTGAGGATAGGGGAGCTTCCAGCTTAGTCCCAGCTTGGTTTCCCTATGACCTGAAACCAAAGTGTGTGGTATCCTCAGCCATAGGATCTTACCACCCACAGTAAGTTCAGCCATGCAACCAGCAGCAGTGGCAACAGCCTGTGTGGTTTATGGGCCTTCAAGGACCTCACTGGCCAACAGCTTTTAATGAAGTAATATACCTATGACATAGAATTTCAGTCAGAACCTTATGGCTTCTGGGAGTGACTTTTTCTACCCATGCAAAGTACCTTCTGGGTTAAATTCTTTAGTTGTAGTTTTCACAATCGATTCTATAACCCGATGGAGTTATATGGCAAGCAAAAGTACCATTGAGCCCAGTTTTGATCAGTCCAATTCTTTGCATCAGTGTTTGTGTAACGAGTGTCCTTAGTACTATCACATGTAGTAGTGAGGAGGGTGAGACCCTTGAAAGTGTCCTCAGCTTGCTCATTGATATGCAATTGCATAAGAAGAGGCCTGTGATAGTGTTCACATAGGGGAAGGAATATTTACATCCCACACTGACAGACATAGGCCCTATGCAGTCTACCTGCCAATCTCATACAGGACAGACTGATATATTTGTCCCAGCACAGCATCCATACATCAAAAATGCAATTGGTTACAGACATCACCTGTTTGGACAGCATGCAGAATTCCAGAATATTGCACAGGATTGCTAGTGGCTTTAGATGTTTTCCAGCCTATGCTCCACTATACCTAGACCACATAGAAGCCCATAGAACAGTTTCTACTATCACTCAGCTAGATTAAAGAAGCCACTCCAATATACATTTGACTAGTCCCAAACTGTATATCTGAATGAACTTCTATGTCATTGGAATGCCCATTCTGAAGCTATGAACTTTCAATTCAGGCTTTACACTTTTACTTTTTACACCTTTCCATGTTATCTATCTCTTAACATGTTAATGGATTATTAATTGCTTTGATTTTCAGTCTCCAGACTAAAGAAACAAATAGTTTATGTACCATGCTTACAACATTAGAGCATTCTGCAAGTGCTGGTATAACTACCAGTGATTTTCCTATTTTCTTCTTACTCACCAACATCTCTCCCAGGTTGAGGAGCCTCCCCTTTGGTTTTTGAGTCCAGCCTTTAATGGTTGAGGCATCTCTCTAGCCCTTGAAGGACACCCTTTAACCATTCCTTTAACATTTCTTGTAGAACAGGTGTGAAGGAATATTCTCTCAGCTTTATCTGATGATGTCTTTATCTCTTTGTCATTTCTAAAGGGCAGCTTTGGCAGGTAAAATATTGTCGTTTAAAAGTCTTTCACTCGGGCTGGAGAGATGGCTCAAAGGTTAAGAGC